TCAATTCTTAAGAACTCTCACAGAACTAGGCATATGTTCATCGCCAAAACGAACATAACAATAAGAACTAGATTGCGTTAGGAAGAATCCTGTGTGAGGTATATCATCGTTTGCACAAACAGCAGAACAGTTCAAGGATATCGCGTCTACTGGTCAGCCAGTAAAGTAAATATACTTTCACAAGGGAAGGTTCAAAGGGTAACACCTACCTATCCTATGCAGGATTCAACCGCTGAACTTTATCACCTAGTATTGTGTCTCATGTTTCGTGTCTCCCCCAATTTTCATTCATGTGGGGGATTGTTGGAAAAAATTGAGTGAACGGCTCACTTTTGGTACAATTTTCGATGGGACCCGTTGGTCCAATATGGAATATCAAAGTTGATATGTGTTTTCCTCCGCGAGAACATCGATTTCATGTATTTATTTGTCAAAAATGAAGCTCGGGTGAATGAGAAATTGAAGCTCAAAGTTGGTCATTGGAAGTTGATTTTGTAGGAAAAATGCATTTATCCCACATAGGAAAATCAAGGAAACTTAAACCACTTTATAAATGGGTATGCTTTGGAGATGTGTAATCATGTGTAGCATAGAGGTTCTCTCCACGTGCGTGCGCAGGGGGGTGTAAATCATGAACCGAAATGGCCTTCAAACCTTAAACTTGGGTGCGACCGCGACCTGCGCACACGAATGTCAGACCGAACAAGGCAAAAATGGCCCCATCGATGAGCCCACGTTTTGCCAATTTTTTTTTTGGCTTTCTCCAATGACTTTTGAGTTTCTAAACTGAAAAAACTCCAATGGATTCCCATTGGTCACAGTGTTAATGGGAAGTAACTCCAATGAACTCCCAATGGTCACAATATTAATGGGCAATATGCCTATAAAAAGGCTCATTCTCTAACAATCTAACACACTCAAAAATCTCACCTACATTCATGCATACACAGTTTCTTCTTTTCTATATTTCTTATCCAGTAAGGTCTTGTTCTTGTGGTGATAATGTTCGGATACTAGATTAGTTCGCCGGAGTCGGACCACGGTGCTCGAATTCTGCTTATTACCGTTGTATCCTGGGAGACAGTCACTCGAACTGAACCTCTAGTACCTATAATGAGGGGGCGAAACTGTCTTAAAGAAACTGTGCACGCACAGGCCTCGATTTGAAATTTGCTGCAGTTTGTATTTTCTTTCTACGGATTATTTTCGCATTACTATTTAATTCATGCAGTTTATAGTTCCATAGTGTGCAGCTTCCGGATTCATCGTTTACAGTTTTAGCCTGCAGTTAACTTATATTTCTGATTTTGTGTTGTTAAACATTTTTTTTAGCCGTTGAAAAATTCTGAAATAGAATTTTTTTGATAAATTGAAATCGTTTGCCTTGTGGTTATTAATTTCAATAGTCAGCTATTGTAATTGAATAAAACTTATACAATTGGTTTCATCCACTAGCGACTTGTTTTCCTACAATATATAGTTCATAATTTGCAGTTTGCGCCGTTGATTTGATTATGAGATTGTCTAATGCTACTCAACATTTGACTCTAGAGTAATTAGTGGTTACAAAATACAAATCAACTTTTTAAATAGATAAATAATTAATTGAAAATTAAGACGTCTATGAGATCCAACGAAGTTTCAAGCAAACAACTATATTTATATTCCGTCGAGTTCAAACAATTCTTGAACCATAGTCGTCAAGCTCCTCTCACCACAAGGAATTTCGATAGTGGAGCTTAGTTTTGTATTGTTGAGTTGTGCTTTTCAGAGAATCAAGTTAATTTGTACTGAAAAAATATTTAGTTTTTGGAACAATCAGTTGAGCGTTTTATATACATTTATTTCATAATTCTTGTAAGTCTCAAAATCTGTATTTAATTGCTATACAAAAGAATTTTTTTAGGTACACAATTACTAAAATGGGCATTTATTATAATGATGTATATTTTTATTTGTATAACATACATTTTAATATTGAGTTTTTTAAGAAAATATATTATTAAAAAATTAATAATATCAAGAACCACCTAAAGTTCCAACTAAAAAGGTGAAATGATTTGCATTGTCTCAATTGAAGTAATGAGCCTCTCCTAACTATTTTTTAAAAAAAGGTTCAAATAAATATATATTATCTTTCATGTATATTCGACTTGCATCAATTTTGATTATTCAATTTATCCATTTTCATATATCCTTTGTTTGGTATAGGTTAAAATAGACAACAAATTTGATTTTTTGTAAAATGGAAAGGATATGAAATAAATTCAAATTATTCATCATTGGGAAGAATGAAGAAAAGTGAAGTTAGATGAGAAATATCGAAAGGATTTTAGATAATTAGAGCATATTCAATGGTGGTGTAAAGTTAGATGTAAATTTGTATGTTCAAAATCACTTTTGCATGTTCATTTACATCCCAATGAATCTAAATTCAAATTTTGTTCCAATGAAAAAATCTAAATTCACCTTTTACCTCGTGTTAAAAAATGCAATTTGAGTTTTCTTTGAATCTTTTCATTGGAGAGGTTTTCAACCACTTTGAAAATCTAAATCACAATTTAGGCCCCGTTTGGTAGAGATTTTTTGCCCCGAAAAATTGATTTTTTGACCGTTATTTTACTATTCAAGCCGTAATTTTTGACTTCTTCTCTCACATGTGAACCCCACTTTTCTTCTAACGGTCAAGAAATCAATTCTTAAAATCCCTACCAAACGGGCCCTTAATTTTATTTTACACCACAATTGGAGTTCTTAGGAGAGAAAAATTTAAGCAAGGTGGGAAACATGAACTTTTCACATTTCAAGGAATGGTTAAAATAATCATCGTAATTGAAAAGGCTAAAATCAGAAGTCGAAAAACTACTTTCGTTGCTTCTCAATTATTTTAATTTTATCAAACACTTAAAATAATCGTTCTTGTATAACAAGTTGAAATTAAGCTCTCGTTTGGCCCCCATTAATTTGAATTATAATGAGAGGAATAGTGTTCGTTTGAAAAAATGAGTAGTTGTAAAAGAGTGAAAAATTTTCGATTTGCGTGTAATATTATTTTATTGAAGATTGTGTGGTTGAAAAATAAGAGAGAGAAAATTAATTTAAATTGATAAGAATTAAAGGGGGCCAAATGGGGCGAAGGTTCTAAAGCAATCCTAAAGAATATATGTACAAATTTCTTTCATAGAATTATTTCATAGATCACACATGGCAAAACATCATTGAAAGATTAAAAAGAAAAAGAAAAAACTGAAGAATAGGATGCTGTCACGAAAACACCCTGTAGGAAACCTGTGTAACATTCCAGTACTTGGGGAATAATCCATTCCTAAAATGGGGAGAAGCTGACGAGCAGTAGCTAGAAAATTGTGGTCGTATATTTAATACGTAAACTGTAGACAAAATATCAAATATCTCATGCAACTCTTCACTAAAAGTTCGTAAAAATTCAACATATCAAAACCTGACTTAAAAGTGATTTATGAAATGACCCCGACTTCAAAATTTATAGTTTATTATCCAAGTTTCTGTTTCGCAAAATTATAAATTATTTATGAATTTGTCAAATTTCATTTTCAACCTCACATTTCAATGAATCCACAAATAATATACATTTTTTCACCATATTTTTCTATCTATTTATAGATTAAATCGTTTACAAAATATTTTTCAAAATCCTGATGAAGGAAAATAAGCTGCAGTATTTAATGCTTCACCCCAGAGAGATTCTGGTAAGGTAGAATGACTAATCATACTCCTCACCATGTCCTTAAGCGTTCTGTTTCGTCTTTCAGCAACACCATTTATAGTGAGCGAACCCGGCATAGTGTACTGTGGGACGATACTGCATTCCTCTAGGAATTTAGCAAACGGTCCTGGACGCTGTTCACCTGAACCGTCATATCTGCCATAGTATTCACCCTCATGGTCAGATCTGACGCTTTTAATCCTTTTGTCGAGTTGGTTCTCAACTTCAGCTTTATAGTTTTTGAACACATCCAGTGACTGTGATTTTTCATGAATGAGATATATGTAACCATATCTTGAAAAGTCGTCTATGAACGTTATAAAATATTGTTGACCATTCCAAGAACCCGTAGGGAATGGTCCACAAATATCCGTATATATAAATTCTAAGACGTCCGAAATCCTATTGGCTTGAAATCTCCTTTTATTGGTTTGTTTTCCCTTTATACAGTTGACACACAAATCATAATCTGTGAAGTCAAGAGGGTCGAGAATCCCGTCAGACACAAGTCTCTCAATTCTCCTTTTGGAGATGTGACCTAATCTCTTATGCCACAACGAGGCAGAATTCTCGCCGTTTAATTTTCGCTTTACACCCCGCCGACGGCCCTTTTTTTTTTTTTTTTTTTTATGCAACCATTAATCCGAATTTCGAAAATAACAAGAATTATACCTCAAAAAAAATTTCAAATTTAACAAAATATATAACCAAAAATTGTTAAATCTGAAAATTTCAAAATATATTACAAGAACCAAACTAAAACCTTTGATTCTCAATGATTCAACTTGAAGAGGCTCTGATACCACTTATTGGATAATTTAGTGCTTTAAATTACTGAATCTTTCATGTTAAATTATCAAGAAATATAAGAATTAAAGCGGAAGCGTACCTGAATCAGACATGGTTAATGCAATATGAATTTCGCGGTATGGTCTTCCAAATTTACACGCAGTCTCATTTTCTCTCTATGATGGGATGCAGTAGAGAATGAATAATACATTGCGTGTGATCTGGGGACCATAACCTATTTATATAGGGATGCCCTTTAACCTAATTCGGCCCATCATAGAATTATGACTTGGACCCGATCTCTACACATATGTAAATCCATACTTTAACTGATATATTAAAGCTCAAAATCGAAGCCTTATTAGATCATTTTAATTGGGCTCAACCGAATTCGATAGCCTATAATTTAACACACAATTATTCACACATACAAACCCATCTTTAATTAAAAAATCCTTACAATTCATTCATGATGAATCCAATATTATATGTCATTAAAAGCATAATTCGAATATCCAAAATACATTAACTTTTAAATAGACATTTGCTTTGAAAAGGGAAGGAAAAAGAAAACAGAATTTATTCACATTCAGTCTCTTATGAATTACAGCTACCACTTTGTTGAAAAAATGGCAGCAAATACAGAAGAAATGAGTCTAAGACTGAATGTGAATGGGTTCAATATTATTTTGTTTAGGAATTGGGATGTGTCCTTTCTCCTGCAGGCTTTTGACTGTGTCATATAAACACTGCTTCACCGGTGTAAATTCCAACCCTAAGTCTTTCAGCTTTTGGTTTGAGAATTCGTAGGGTTTTCTTCTTGGGTTCTTTTCATCTGAGCACCTACAGAGAATTCAAAAAGAAAAACAAATATTTCCATTGTATTTAACGAGTTGTCCAAAACAAGTACATTAGTCTTAACAATCACATATCAAAGCTTAAAAAAAAAAAACATAATAGGGCCACCCACCACCACATGAATAACATTACTCTTCTTTCTCATTACACCACAAGCCATTAAGGTGTAGGAACAAAAATCTTGGATGTGTCATATGCTAATTGTTAAATATTACGAAATTGTATAATATCGTTAAATATGCATCATATATTTAATGATAAAGTGGACGAAATTGGTCGATAGTTCGAATACGATATCTAGTACGACTGGTGCTAAAAATATCATATGTGGCATCTAAGATGCATTAAATTATAAGTCCAGTCAAATAATTATTGGTCCACCACAGACAATGACCCAGTTGTTGGTGAGGACTCTTCATGTCCACAAAATATCAATATTATGAACGCAATTATTAAGAATGTTTTCTCAACTAATAGACAATAACTAGATAGGATGCATGCATACCAAGCACATACATATTTACATTATAATATGTGTGTGAACACTGAATTTGTATGCCTTCCTAATTCTTCTTCCTGTCAGATTTGGTAGAACAACTAATCCAATCCCCAAGGGAGAAAAATCTTAATTGAGTCGGATGGAATTGCAGTATTGGATCCCATTTCACACTCGAACCGGTAAATAATCGACTTAACGAGTAAGAATCATAGACTGACAAATTTGAGTAGATTTTCATTTGGAGTTTTTATTAGGTCAACTATATGAATTTTGAAATCAAAATATCCCTATAGAGTAGTTTATTTCAAATACTAAGCAATTATTAGAAGCATAAAACTAAGTTCATTCTATGGTAATATATATTTGATCGACAAAATTGTAGTACGACTAATCTATAAGAAAAGGGGACATAAAATGTGATATTTTTAAATGGAATTTGGAACATTAATGGCTTATAAAAAAACTTACTTGGTAGGGATCGGATATTCAGGGAAAAACTTGGCCAGAATCTCGACCACCTCAGCTCGGTGGATCACGCTCTCAACACAAAGGTAGCGCCCAGAGGCCACAGGTGTCTCGAAAAGTAGTATTTGAGCCAATGCTACATCCTTGACGTGAACATACCCCTGGACGGAGTTGGCATAGGTCTTTGCTGAGCCAGTCAAATACTTCAATATATGAAGAACACTGGCATTTATAGTGGCTTGAAGCAACGGTCCAAGCACCAAAACCGGGTTGATAACCACCATGTCCACTCCTAACTCCACCGCTATATCCCATGCTGCTTGTTCTGCCACTGCCTTCCCATAGCAATACCAATTCTACAATGCCATGTCAAATAAGTAATTAATGTGATCTCCATGATCGTGTAACGGTATATTCTTTCTATTTCCAATCGATATTTTAAGGGATCATGGCATGGGGGTTCAATTCCTCTCCAGCATTTGATTACCCCCCAAGTTTTAACCATTTGAAAACCCACAAAATATATATTTTTTTTCGGAGTTATGTACACTCATGGGGTCACCATACTAACCTAACATTCAATATCCAGCTCAAATCCTAAGTCTCCAAGTGGGCCCTCTGGACCACCCATGACCTTGGTTTCCACTTTTAAGCTCGACAACGGTAATGTAGCAATCTAGTTATTTGATGCCACATTAACTTTACGGTAAAGCAAAATAACAGACACGACAACAAATTGTAACAAACTTTCAAGTTAACCTAACCTAGTTGGAATAAAATTAAAGTTCGGTGACTATTAGTGTTTTTAACCCGATTTCTAAGAGTATATGCAAACCTTGGTATTTTTGCAAAATTCAAGATCACTCCAGCAACTCTCATCAACAACTTTTTCAGGGTCTCTGTTGGGATCCATGTATACTGCACCAATTGATGAGGTTAAAACTACACGGCGGACCTTGGCTTCCGCCGCCGCACGAATTACATTCTTAGCCCCAATTACCGCTGGCTCCACCATTTGCTCCTTCAATTGAAACAATTGGGAAAAAAAATTTAAAAAAATCAATTATTAACCAAATATCTTAGCAATATAAGTTAGATAGGTGTGGCTATTATATCATATGATACATTATTTGAAAACCAACTATTGGGACTTCTATTAGCCAACTGATATTCAAATCAAATCGACAAGTGCCAGCAAATAATGTCCAAATAAACGTAAATTAAAAGGTCAAATCAAGATTCAATTTAGCCCTCGTTTGTGTAGAACGAGTTTTTGAATAGTATGCTTTTGAAGAATTTATAGTTAAAAAGTAGGAAAAATTTTGGATTTGAGTGATATTTCTTTGTGACAATGTGGGGATTAAAAATGAATAAAAGGGGAATTTTTTTTTTTTTTTAAAAGAATAGTCATCCTACGGGAGCTTAGAACTATAATAGTGTCCTTTCTGGCAGTACCTGACATATAAAGAGCACCAATTCCAACGTAAGAAGAATTAAAAAGTGCCAATAAATAATATTTTAATTAATTTCTGCCATTTTTTCCTTCATCTCCTAATCAATAAAATTAGGGTTTGGTGAATAATAATTAATAAGGACTTACTGGATCATCGGTGACAGGTGAAGCAGTATGGAAAACACCGTCACAGCCATCGATAGCTTCACGTAAACTTCCATAATCACTAAGCTCAGCTCTGCATAAAATTAATCTCTCACTGGCTCCTTCAAGTTCTCTTAAATGAGAATTCTTGGGATCATCTGTGTCGAACCCATAAATTGTATACGTGTTATGCTTTCGACGGAAAATGTGATCGTGATCGTGATCGTGATCGTGCCCGTGAAGGGCACAATTTGATTAAATAATTTTGTTTAACGCTTTTGGATTAGGATGGTTCACCTGGATTTCGGAGAGTGCCTCTAACAGTGTACCCTTTTTCGAGGAGGAGTTTGACGAGCCATGAAGCAATGAAACCTCCGGCGCCGGTGACGCAGACGAGTTTCCCGGAAACCGACGGCATACTGGATTTTCCGACGGTGGTGGGTGGATAATTCTGCTTGGTGGGTGAATAAGACGGTGGCTGCCGGCGGGGAATAAAGAAGGAATCGAATGTTTCAAAGAAAACAAAAATACCTGGGTGAAGAAATGTACGGTAGTGTCAACCGTCAACTGTGTTCTTATCTTTATAAAATGAAATAGTAATGTTATTCGTAGTGAAAATTGTCCGTAGTCGTATACACTTGATAATTTGTTATTTAATACATAAATATGGTAGTTATTTTTTGAATTAAATATTAAATAAAAAATTGTCAAGTATATACCACATAGAACTACTGTCGATTATTTTCACTGCAAATAATATTATTCAAAAGAAAAATATTTTACCACTTCACGGCTTCACCTACCGCAGTTAAATAGTAAAAATGATTTTTGGATAAGGAAGAGACACTTCAACTTCTACACCAACAGGATAACTTTGAAAATGGCTGGAGAATTCTTCCTTTTTTTCCACAATAGCATTTTCTATCAAAAGTACTATTTTACCCTTAATGAGATTATTTGCGAAATCTATCTTATATTTTTAAGGATTTATCAATCAGGTCCTATATCTATATTTTTCAATTTTTTGAACACCTTTAAATATTCTCTATATGTTAATAGTTCTTTAAAGATTATTGGTTGACCTTTCTTGGTTATGTATCCTTTAAATAATCCTTATGAGATTTCTTCTTGTATATTTATATGTTTGGTTATGATATCTTCTACTTTTCTTATTTCTCTACTAGTTCCTACAGAATCAAATCTAAGAGAAATCTTTTGTAATCTGCATACACCACTTGTATTCAGAAAAATACTAGATAGCCTGAAAATAGGAAAGCGTGTAATAAGGTAATCACTTATGAAGTTCTAAACTTCATAAAGTGAGTAGCAAAGGTCTGTAAATATAGTTTGTAAGCATGTACAATTTTAGTTCATGAATATTAAAGTAAAGTTTGTTATGTTCAACAAAGTTTTCATAAAAGGATTTCGTTAAGTTTCTCATGATTCCTCGGCAGTACAGATAGAAATTTTAAAAGATTTTCAAAACATTAATTTTGAATGGATGTTAGCCATGCCAAAGTACCCATCTTTGATGAATGGTTTAGGGGGAAAAAGGCAGGCTTCTAACAAAATTGTAGCACATTGCGTGTGAGTTATCTTTTAAAATTTCGCTCCAAGTAGGAACTTGATTCTGAAAAGAGTTTGGATAGAGGTGAAAACAGAGACTTTGAATACTATGAGATAGTGTCTGTGGAAACACGGCTAGTTCTCTAGAATGAGAAATGCAACCTTAATTGAAAAGCCTTTTGCGAAAGCAGTTGTGGACCCTAATGATTTCAAAAAACATTTTAAATCTTTACTTAATTCAGAAGATTGATTAAGTACATGCAAAGCATCTATAATAACATACTGGAGGGAAAGTCTGTTTATTTCCACTTGATTACTGTAAGTTATTTACTTGATTTTTACATGCTTATGCTCTAATTACTTTCATGAACAATTCACAAGCATCCACTTCCACTACTAATGATGATAATAATCTTATTTTATTTTTAGATGAAAAAGACATAAAAAATATAAATATGAAAAAGATTATTCTTGTCCTGAGATACTTGCAGATTATACATCAGGGACATTTAAAGAGGCTGAAACAAGATATGAGACGAATATAAAAGAACTCATTGCTGTGAAAAGAGGAGTTCAGAAATATGAAAATTATCTATTACCAAAGAAGTTTTTGATCAGGACTGATAATACTCAAGTTAAAGCATTTTTGAAAAATAATGTTGATCCATCTATTACCAACAGATATATTATTAGGATACAAATTTGGTTCTCATATTTCAAATTTGATAATGAATATATAAAAGGTAAAACTAACTTTCTTCCTAATTATCTTAGCAGGAATGGAGCTGGAACAATTAAGGACAAAAGTCCAAATACTTGAGATAAAAGTTTCCTATTTGGAAACCCAAATTCAAAATATCCAAGATAGCCTTCGAGGAAAAAATATAGTCCTTGAGGCAGAAGTTACTTGTACCAAGACTAGTATCCCTTCGCAGGGACTTGTAAATACTAGCGCTCTCCCCGAGGATAAAGGGAAAGAAAATAAGGTAATAGGAATCCCTTTACAGGGAATATTCAAGCCTCTGAATATATGTTCTATAAATCCAAATGCTGTATATGTTTCCCATTTATTAAATTGTATTGCTAAATCTGTACTTTTCATCCATGTTTCAATAACTTTATTTTTATCTACACAATTTAAGTCTAACAATACTCCTGTGGTGTGGATTGGTTCATTATAAGATTTTATTGGATTTATTTCTTTTATGGACTGTTTTCTTACATTTCCGGTGTATCTTTTCTGTGTTTTTCTATATTGGTTAATATCAGCCTTATCAGGTATTGGGGTACCATAAGGATAATCTTGTTCTTCATCACTACTAAATTCTACTTTTATATTTTGACTTGAAGATGGATTAGTATTCATCTCTATATTTTCCATTTTTTCAGTTAATTCTTCTAATTGTTTTTTATATTCTTCATACTCTTCTCCTGTAGATTCTAAGAATTTTTGTTCTATTTCTTCTACATCTGTTATCATTTATTGTTTTTCTTCATGTTTTTTCCCTTTATTATTTTCTTTTTGTGTTATCCTAAAATCTTGAGGTGGATTAATAATAATCATATCTTTTCCCTTAAGACTTTTATCTAAAAGAGCATTTCCTACTTGTAGATTATGTTCTAGATTTTTTAATCTTTTATATATATCTCCAAAATTTTCATTTGTGGTATTTTTAGGCAAATATGGATAACTAGGTTTTTTATGTTTTTCAACTTTTTTCAAAAAAATTTCAATTATATTCTCTTCATCTACTATATTCATCATAATTTTTGGTTCGTGACATGACTCTGATACCATTTCATCGGAGTGTGCAGCAGAGGGGTTAATATTTTTAAGCCAATTAAAATCTTTATAAGTATCTAAAATGTCACAATAAAATTTATAAAATTCACTATTTTTTATTAATACTTTTTCTTTGATGATTTTATTTAATTCTTTAATTCTTCTTCTCAGATTAAGAATTAATTTGTATATATCATTTTCTATTTTGATTGTATTATTATCTATAGAAACGTTTTTATTTTTTAATTTTGGATCTAAATATTCTCTAAAGAATCCTTTCAGTTCTTCTTCTAAATATTCTAATTCATTTTCTGTCGCATTTCTTAGATCAATAAAATTTTCTATAATATTTGAATTTAAATTAATTAAAGATTTTTGGTCTATATTTTCTTGAGAACCTATTTGAAGGTTTTTATACATTGTAGTTGCTTTGGTTGCAATTTTTCTATGAGGGGTATTTTTGGAAATATAGTTGTTTGAAGACTATTTTTCAAATGTTCTCATTTCTTAGTCTATTTTCAAAAACCTTCCTTTTATTTAGGCTGTTTGGATATATTTTCCCCCACTTCACCCCGACAAACTCGCCACCTTTCTTTTATTGAATAATTGCACTGATGATCCCTATATATCGACCCAGTAAAAAGTTGGTCTCGGACCTTTAAAAATAAGCAAATTAATCTCTAAACCTTTCACTATAATCCTTATTTATTTTTCATTTCTTTAAAGAGGATATAAAGGATTTCAACCCCATCAAAAATGAGACTCAAGTCGAGATCATAGACTTAGTAAGGCTTCGTCCTTACCACTTGAGTTATGTTTATGAAGTGATTATGTTACAATACATTGAGGACCAAATGTACAATTTTCCTTTGGTAATTTTGATTTATAAAGTGAAAGGAAAATGTTTGGGTAGCGTTATTTCTATCCACACTTTTTATAATACATCATACTCTAAATTTATCCCTAATAAAATTTTTTAAAAAATACTATTTACATTCACGTTATATTCCAATCTTGTCATTACGAAATCCATTCATTTAAATAACATATATCCACACAAATTTTATATATTCATCTTATTTTAAATACATCCCTAACACTATGAATTGATCTTTTTTTTTAAATAATATGTAAGGAAAATTCGTACTATAATGTAAATATTCACAACGCATCATTTATCCTATCAGTAACGACATTATCTTGCCACGATAAAGTTACGAATTTATCATAAATTTACATAAAGTTGAACTAATAATCACTTGTGAAGAATAAAAAACATCAACAGTTTTTTCAAAAAACATATAGTAAAACAGACATCAAATGTGTAAAATTTATTTGAAACTAGATTATCAGGGGAAAGTGAAAGTAGTTTAGTAATCATATTTACATAACACTAAAGCAATTTCAAATTAAGTCCTTCGATAACTACCATTGCCCACAGTTTAGCTTCTTCTTGAAAATTTCCATAAACATCCTAGTATTGAAGAACTTGAATTTAGTGAAGATCCAAATGATGCATTTTCTTGATTAACATAATCTTTCAAAGTCAAGCATCGATTGTTTTGGAGATGATAGGAATGGGCAACTGGCTTTTCTGAGAGCCCTTCATCTTGGCTTCTTGCTCACAGATCTTCTGCATCTGGAGCATTCTCTCCATAACAAGCTCATACTCGCACTTTTCATAGGTATGGCGCTCCGCCTCACCTCTCCAAGGCGAATAAAAAAACACGGTGCAATTCTAGAATGTGGTGAGAAGAAGTGAGGTAGTAGGTGAGGAGAATCTGTCTCTGAGAGTTTTTCTGGAATATGAACTATTTATTTGAGTTTTGGGTGGTCTTGTAATTCTAGAATGTTTTAATTATGCTAATTATATGATTTCATTAGTTAATAGGGTAGTGATCAAATTAGTCAATTTTTTAGAATATTGCCTAATTTTCCCTAGTTATATTCAAGTAATTTTTCTTAATCTATTATAATTCTAGTTAAACACAAATTCTAAAAGAATTAAAAAAGATTTAGGATAATTTAATGAAAGTAAAAATTAGTGGATCAATATAGAGTTTTGCATTTTTATTTAATTTTGTTTATATCTATTTAACTAAATTTACATAGGATTTAAAAAATAATAAAAATTTATTTTTAAAAGTGGATGTACTTATAAAAAGTGTGACTCGAAATAACAGTACCCAAATGTTTTTGAAGCGTAATTTTTGCCG